GTAGTGGGGGGGGGGGGGGGATGTTAGGTTAATAGGAAGTTAAAATAAGAGAAGTCAGTGGGTCTTCTGTTGGGGGAAAAAAATAAGTGGAGTGATGGCGCCGTCTATGTTCGGCTAAACTACAGTGTCACCTAGAAAATCAGTTTGGGGAATATCCAAACTAAACGCCCGTTTGCTTTTCAGCAGAAGAGGGTTCTCCCCCTTCCTAAATGGGCAACCTTAAGCCTCTGTGGCCGTTCTTTAATTCCCTCCTCCATGGAAAAGAAAGACCTTTTAAATCGAAGTGCCTAATCCTTGCAGTGAGCAGATTCACTCTAGTATCTATCAATACTGCAAACTAACTGAAATGCTGCCGGCACACTCGATTCGTGTGTGTGTGTGTGTGTGTGTGTGCGCGCATGAGTGTGTGTGTAATGCACACAGGGAGAGAGAGAGTAAGACAATGTTGTGTTTCAATAGCCTTGCATGAACAAATGCACAACTAAAATGAGGGCTATTTGATTACGTTTCTTCATAGAAAACAGCCTAGCACTGCAGACGTCTTTATTTTTCTAGTGCAAATATTACATAGGATGGGAAAAGTCAGAGGCTTTTTTCCTTTTCAAACAGAAAAGCAAATAAGCACCCTTTTTGCTTTCCAGATTATAAAATTAATCCTTTTTCATGGGTGGAATTCCTAATTTAGACACTTATTGTCACATTGGCTTTCAACGCCTACACCATCCTGAATAACATTGCGCAGAACTGCATTGCCTGCAAAATGCTTCTGCAAAGGGGAAATTGTTTCCAGAATTCCCAATAAGTTTCTCTTTTTTAAAGCCTTAAATGCTGGTTTGACCCTATTTGGAGAAAGAGGACCGTGTTATTAATTGAGATGGACGCTCAGAAAGGAGAAAATCCAACTGTGTGGATAGACCTAGCAGCAGCTCTTTTCTTTTTTTCTTTTTTTTTTAAAAACCTCCACTATAAAGAGGGTTAGAGTTGGTGTTGTTTTGCCCGTTTCAAGATTCAGAGTTTGAATTATAATCTAGGAGATACGAAAATCTCTTCAAGGGAGCTTAATCCAGTGATTTGCTGTGTGTTATGCAATGGGAGACAGAAGATGCTTTGCTGTTTGGTGAGGAGATGAAAAGCTAGGCGAAGACAGACATCAAAACTCAGTGACAGTGCCTGTGTGTGTACGCCTGCTTCTGCTTACAGAGCAACAGTGGAAGAGACTGCAATCTAGAGTTTTGAAATTAGCTTGGCATCACTTCTGTCTGCTTGCATTTCAGAGCAGAAGGTTTTGAAAAGCTACTCATTTTTAAGAGAGAAGCAACTTCTCACAGGTTAACACTGAAAACGCTCCATTTTAAATTTTTGGATAATGTTACAGCAGTAAATATAACTAAAGTTCACTTTATTAACCTAGGCCACTGTTAAGAGAACAGAGCGTGTGAAGGCTGCTAACAGTTGACAAGTGCAGTAAAACAGCTTTATTTGGAGATACTAGGAGAGAAAATGTAATATGTCTTTCATCATTCAAGCGCATGTCTGCAAAACACAAGAGCTAATTAGACAGTACAAGATTTTTGTAATAAGAGGGCAAGTGCAGTCCAATAGGTGCAGAGATCCTGCTGTGGCACTGCCAGCTGTATAGAGCTACTACTGGTTGTAGATACTGATGCAGTGATCCATTTTATATATCCTTAGATGTTGAAGCACATTGAAATTATTATCTTAAAAAGCTGGCACTTAGTGGTAGTGTCAGACCAGCACTAGTTTCATCTGTCTGTCTTTGTTTCTTTCTCCAGTAGTCTCAAAATTTTATTAATACATTAATCTCAGTATTTCTTGCCTGGGTTTTCTTTTTATAGAGACCTCTGTATACCAGGTGACCAGGGCAAAGGCGTGTGGGCATGTGGGAGGAGATAATGTTCTATCTGTAACAAATAATAATTTGTGTTTTTTTAAAGTATGATGTAATTCTTCACAGTTACTTCTCAGTATTAATAGCAAAATAACATAACAACAGGCACTACTGGCTTTCTTGTTCTATTTGGTGAAATTCTGCATGTGCATGTTGTATGTGCACATACATGACTATAGCAGACTACTTATTTACTTCTTGAAGAAATAAATAAATAAATCACCCTTGTTTTGGTCTGTCGGCTAAGGCATCTAGGTTTTTACCTAAGCTGAGCAGCTCTAGTCCACGCCATGATGACTCCATCCTAGACAGGAGAGGACATTCCTATTAATAATCTAATAGATGTTGTTTTTTAATTTGAGTGTGGGAGACCTGGCTGTTGCGATTGCCACGTGATGGCGCTGTGCACACAGCAGCAAACCCGGCCCTTGCGTTATAAAATAAAAAATACCTGCCCTTCTTTCTGAAAGGGGCTCTAACTGCAAGCTTGAAAACAGCTGGCTCGAATATTGGAAGGAGTTTGGTTTTAAATGCGTGAAGAATTCTACTTGCATTTTTATTTCATTTCATCTCCTGCAGGCCAAATGACATAGGATGAAGGCTGTTCGTAATTTGCTGATTTATATATTTTCCACCTATCTACTGATTATGTTTGGATTTAATGCTGCCCAAGACTTCTGGTGTTCCACGTTGGTGAAGGGGGTCATTTATGGATCGTATTCTGTAAGTGAAATGTTTCCTAAAAACTTCACAAACTGCACTTGGACGCTGGAAAATCCAGATCCGACCAAATATAGTATTTACCTGAAATTTTCCAAAAAGGACTTCAGCTGCTCCAACTTTTCCCTTTTGGCTTATCAGTTTGATCATTTTTCCCATGAAAAAATAAAGGATCTTTTAAAAAATAACCACTCCATAATGCAGCTCTGTGATTCCAAGAATGCTTTTGTATTTCTGCAGTATGACAAGAACTTTATTCAGATACGCCGCGTCTATCCTACCGATTTCCCAGGATTACACAAAAAAGAAGACCAAAAATCCTTCTTTGAGTTTTTGGTGTTGAACAAGGTGAGCCCAAGCCAGTTTGGGTGCCATGTGTTATGCACTTGGTTGGAGAGCTGCTTGAAATCCGAGAACGGGAGAACCGAGTACTGTGGGATCATGTATACAAAATGCACCTGCCCTCAGCATTTAGGAGAATGGGGAATAGGTGACCAGTCCCTGGTGTTGCTCAATAACGTGGTGCTGCCCCTCAACGAGCAGACGGAGGGCTGCCTGACCCAGGAGCTGCAAACCACCCAGGTCTGCAACCTCACCAGAGAAGCCAAACGGCCACCAAAAGAAGGTAGGTGCTTCTTGGAGGGGGGGGGGCTGAATCCCACACTGGTGTGTAGGTCCTGCTGCTGGCTCTCCTTTGATGCTCACGTTCATTTGACTTGCTCTCCACTCCAGCTTGCTTCTAGATGAGGCGAAAGGGCTGGAGAAGATGCACACTTCCTCAGGGCAGGGATGGCTGCATTTTCATTTCTAAATTGGCCTAGCCTTCAGCATATAGTTCTGCTGAGCACTATTGAAACTCCTCATAAGTAGGATCCGTCTGTTTTCAACCCCCACGTACAGCAGCGCCCATAGGTGGCAAGCCAGGAATCTCTCTCACCCTCCGCACCTCTTAACTGCAACCACCCCACTACAAAATCTTGGCTCTCTTGATACGATCCCTTGACTTTGCAAGGAAAACATTTCCAAAGGCATGCTAGCAACCTAACTAAATGACCTGGAGATTTACCTTGGTGAGGACACCTGGTCCCAACAGGGCCAGACCTCAACAACCTAAAAATAAACCAAAAGCAAACACAGTTCTTCAGGGTGAACCCTCTGCCTGCGATGCCTAAAGATGCGAGGCACTGCGCAGAGGCAGGACTTGCTGTTTTGACCTTCTGGGAGCTCTGCAAAGGGGCCAGGGGCTGCTGCTGTGCACCTTCTCCAGGCAGCCTTGGCTGCAGGAGACAGAGGCTCTGAATCTCATAGCAATATTAAGGGGTGAGAGGGTTGATGTGATCGTCTGGGCAGCCGCTTCGTGTCCCTGATGGAAAAGGGGGGTTGTGGAAGAGTGGGAAGCCAGTGGTCCAGCAATTAGAGTGGCAGCCCTCTGCCTAGCCATTTTGCTTCTTATCTCCTGTTTTGACCTCCTGACATTTTGGAGAGGTCAGGGTGTGATTTTAGGAAGCAGACTGGCAGGATGAGAGGCAGAGGAGGCGTAGGCTGAACCTAGGTGGGAGGGTCTGGCTGTAATCTATGGGTGAGGGGTTTCTACAGAGCAGCCCTGCGGGGACGGAGGAAGGGGGGATGTGCCCCTGAGGGGACGGAGGAAGGGGGGATGTGCCCCTGCGGCAAGGGAATAGATCATCAAGCCCAGGGTATTGCATTTTAATGCAGGAAACGTTCCCTTTCTCCTTGTTTTCTGCATAGCCACAAAGCTCCCAGTCTGTGGCGAGGCAGCGCCAAGCTCCCAGCCCCCCTCATAGAAGTTGCTTTGTGGAGGAATGTAACATTGACACGTTGTGAGGAGAGGATTTTCTTTAAGGGCAGCCAAGCCCCAGTGCTGTGGGAGAAGAAAAGCTGAACTTGTTCCAGTTGCCGCGTTGCCAGCGGCCGCGGGCTCGGCCGG